TCGGCAGGGAGAAGCTGTGGGTGGAAGGAGTGACCCCCATAAAGTCAGGGTCCTTCTGCTGTTGAGAGGGTGCTGTGTGGGTCAGGGCTGCTCACAGCTGCACATCACCCCCAGAACATTTCCCAGGGATGTCTGGAGGAGAAGATCAAGCCATATAAAGATAATGAACCTTCCTGAGTCTGCTTTTCCATTTCTTATTCCAGGGGTTACGGAGGGGGAGAGAAAAGGATAAATGGAAAGGGAGCACTTAAGTTTTAACGAATCACCAGGACTATTGAACTTTAACTCTGAGTGATCAGTAGGTCTGCCAGAAGCTACGTAACATGCTTTCAGCCACTCCTTTTCCTATGGTCAGCACCAGCATCACCTCTACTGGACCCATCAGGCTTAATCAGACCCATTTTTTTTCCACCTGCAGACAGGAAAATGCACCCAGGCAGTGCCCTGCAAACACGCAGGTTCTGTAGGGCCAGGGTGAATGCACAGAGGTTGGGATGGGGTCTGTGAGTGATGACAGGAAAAAGACATGGGACAGGGAAACACCTCCCAGGGTGAGCATCTCCAGGCAGCAGGGCTATGATCCCAGGGTATGAGAGGAAAGTAAAACCAGAAATGTTGTGAGAGGGAGAACTCAGAAAGCTCCATATCATCCCCTCCAATGCAGAGCCCTTCCTCTGAGCAATCCCCCTGGCCTCCTCTCCCAGCCAGCAAAGCCTCTGCCCTCAGGGCTGGGGGCTCCAAGGCAGGAATCAGCTCCTCGGCAGCCAGAGCTCCAGCAGAGCTGTGGGGCAGCGGGCCCACCTGCCTCTGCCCTGGCCTCTCCCAGCCAGACCCTCACTGGATATTTGCTTGCTTCTCCACTGGTCTGTGTTATTGCTATTGTTATCTTGAAGTTGTTGCCAGGCTGCCTGGGATGATGGATTTTCAGCTGCAGAGTCACACGCTGATCTTTTGGGTCTCCCCATGCAGGTGTGTCCATTGGAACAAGTGTCCCAGGGTGCCCAGCACCTGTGGAGATCTGGGCATTACAGTTAGTGGGGCTGGGATATGAGCTGTGTCTTACTCACAGAGATGCCATAGTTAGGACACTGGGCTGTATCCTGAGGTGTCCTCCCAAGCTGTGAGCTGCCCTCAGGGATACAAACTGTCCCATAGCACCTCCATTTTATCTTAACAACACAGGAAGATTACAAAGCCTCTCTGAGGGTGGAAATGATGCTGCATTGGAGAAATAAGGCATGAGTGTCCTGGGCTAGCAGTGGGGTGCTGAGACCTTGAGAAAGGGTGAGACATTTAGCCGTCTGTAGTGGGTCCCTCTCCACTCAGCAGTGCTTGGTGGTCTTTAAGGGTAACGTGGGAGTGTGGTCACCCTCTGTCTCAGAAAGTTACAAGCCCACAGAAACTGGGAACTGGACAGAGGGACAGACCAGCTGCCCTCACTCTGCTTCAAGGCACAGGCAATCCTTTTGCCTCACAGGACTCACTCTGTTCTCCCTCAGTGCAGCAGAAATGCTGAGGGTTACTAACATCCAAGCATACTTGCCAGGGGAGATGGGGTGGGAGCTGTATAAAACCCAGAACTCTTAAACTGCATTTAACATTCCCATTCCTTAGCAGTGGGGGTGTGGATGCTGTCAGGCCCTTCTGCATTAGAAGGGGTTTCATCTCACAAAGTTGAACACCAGGATTAGTCCCTGCCTGTACCTACTTCTGAAGATTAGGGTTGACTTATCAAGAGCCCATGGGCAGAGGCCCTGCTCTTCATCGCACATTTGGCCAGCACCAACTAGTGCTGCAGCTGAAGGAAGGTCTCCTAGAAAAAGAAAGGGATGTCTGAATGTGACATGGGAAATGCCTTTGCTTTTGCTAAAAGAAGTCTCCCCTAACAGGTCACTGTCTTTTTCTCCTATGAGGATTGCCCAGAGGCATCAAATGTCCAACGCAAGCTCCAGCACCCAGTTTCTCCTCCTGGCATTTGCAGACACACGGGAGCTGCAGCTCTTGCACTTCTGGCTCTTCCTGGGCATCTACCTGGCTGCCCTCCTGGGCAATGGTCTCATCATCACTGTTGTAGCCTGTGACCACCACCTCCACACCCCCATGTACTTCTTCCTCCTCAACCTCTCCCTCCTTGACCTGGGCTCCATTTCCACTACTCTCCCCAAATCCATGGCCAGTTCTGCCAGGGCCATCTCCTTCTCAGGATGCGCTGCCCAGGTTTTTTTCTTTCTCTTTTTGATGTCAGCAGAGTTTTATTTTCTCACCATCATGGCCTATGACCGCTACGTTGCCATCTGCAAACCCCTGCACTATGGGACCCTGCTGGGCAGCAGAGCTTGTGCCCACATGGCAGCAGCTGCCTGGGGCAGTGCTTTCCTCTATGCCTTAGTGCACACTGCCAATACATTTTCACTACCCCGCTGCCAAGGCAATGCTGTGGACCAGTTCTTTTGTGAACTTCCCCAGATCCTCAAGCTCTTCTGCTCAGAATCCTACCTCAGGGAAGTTGTGCTTCTTGTGTTTAGTGCCTATTTAGGCTTTGGGTGTTTTGTTTTCATTGTGATGTCCTATGTGCAGATCTTTAGGGCTGTGCTGAGGAACCCCTCTCAGCAGGGATGGCACAAAGCCTTTTCCACATGCCTCCCTCACCTGGCTGTGGTCTCCCTGTTTGTCAGCACTGCCATGATTGCCTACTTGAAGTCCCCCTCCATCTCCTCCCCATCCTTGGATCTGGTGCTGGCAGTGCTGTACTCGGTGGTGCCTCCAGCAGTGAACCCCCTCATTTACAGCATGAGGAACCAGGAGCTCCAGGATGCAGTCTGTAAACTGATAACTGGATGGTTTTCTGAAGCAATAAAATTCTTCTGCATAGCAGCTGTAATGTAATCCATCGCAGGCCCAGCCTGTCTTCTGTGCTTTTTTTCTTGGTGGTGGTTTTTTTACTTCTGATAATGTTGTCATCCCCTTTCTAATTCATTCTCTGCTTTCCTTTCCTGACCGAGTAAATGTGTAAATGAGGAGCCCTGCTCTCTCTGTGTGTTTAAACAAACTAAAGGGCCCTGCACCAAATTTATTTTTCCTGAGATCCTTTCTCCAATGCCTTTTTGGAGCTGCAGGGCAGTTCCTGTGTACATGGGTGGAGGGGAAAAGAGTCCCAGCATGGCAGCACTGCCAGGGGGTGCCAGTGCTTGGTCTTCCAGAGATTTTGTCTTTCCAAATGCACTGGTGTAAGGCCTGAATACTCTTGCTGCTTGGTCACAGTTATGCTGCATGGTAGTCCTGTGGCTGTAGGCAGGGACAGGCAATTAGCAAATCTGTGGCAGAGCTGGCCTCCATAACAGCATTTCCATAAAGAAAGGTGATCTCCTCAGGGCAGTGCCTGAAGGCATAGGTATTCTTCCAAAACTTCTCTCAAGAACATGCCCAGGAAAGTAGCCCACAGATGAAAACAGCATTATACAGCTAAACAACGTGAGTGTGCACAGTTGCAGCATGCAGCATTGCCCTTGCACAGCCAGCCCTCCTGAGAGAGACCTGAAGGACCAGTGGAGCAGGGTCTGGTCTGTGCCCATGTTTTCTGGATACCCTGGGGAAGATGCCCCAGGGCAATCATCCTGGACTGGCCCTTCACAACCACCATTTCCTGCTCTGGCCCCTCAGCCCAGCTTGGAGAGGTTCTTTGTCCCTCCACAGAAGGACACTGAATGAATAGGTCAGAAGTCCACGTTTGCATTGTACAGGCGAGATGTAAGCATCACATGATGTACATGAGGTGAGGGGAACCTGAGTGAGCACAAATGCCATCAGCTATTCCTTGAGGTTCCATGAAGGCCTGTGGGACACACAGTGCCTCAAGGTCACTTCATTTTGGGAGTAAAATCCTAGAGAAATCTGCCTGAATGCAGCACTGGGATGTGCTTCCTTGAACCGAAGTCCCTGTGTCCAGTCTTCATGACAAGGGGTCATTTCAGATGAGTGCAGGGCAGGGCTATACACCACAGGGCTGAGGTGCCTCCTAGCCTCTGGGAGTGGCAGCAGGAGGCCAGAGAGACACAAGGAATCCTGTAGTGCGCTGCCTCTGTGTGTAAAAGGGAAAGACTCTGAAGAGTCTGAAGAGTCTGAAGACCCCTGGCTGCATCAGGAGTCAATGAGGCCAGCTCAGATGTGGATGCCTGACAGAACCTTGACATTTCTCTATGTGACTTCAGGAAAAAAACCTCACTGGCCCAGTGAGATTCCTCTCAGCTGCCTTGGACAGGCTCATTACAAGTGCTCCTGTCTGCTACATCCCACTTGCCCATGAATCTGGATTGCGCTCTCAAAAGGGTCAGAGCAATCAGAGAGGTTCTGGGGCCCTTGGAATAGTCAGGCACCAATCCCATCCTCAGGAACAACAAGAAAGGGAACTGGGAGAATTACAGGCTGGTAAGCCTACATCTGTCCCTGGGAAGGGAATGGGACACAAACTCCTGCAGCCATTTCCAGGCACCTGAAGGACAGAAAGGGATTGCTGATCAAAGATGGGCAGGGGGAAGAAAATCATGCTGTGTACATGGAATTTGGCAAGGCCTTTGACATGGTCTCCCATGATGTCCTTACCGCCATATTAGTGCGATCTGGGCTGAAGAGGTGGACATTGGGTGGGAAGTTGGCTGGGCGATCAGGCCCAAATGCCATCAGTGGTCCAAAGTCCTCTGAGCAGGCAGCTACTAGTGGCAGGCCCTCGGGGCCCGGAATTCGGCCACCACAGTGGGAC